TTGTGTCTTTCGTTGAGTTGTGTTGTTGCTGTCTTTTGAGTTGTGTTTTTCGTTACTGAAAGTAGTCTGTTTGTGCTCTTCTCACGAAAAACAGAAAATAAATTAGTTATAGTCTGCCACTAAAGATGATATCAAATATATTCTGTCAATGAAACAAGGACCCTTAAAATGACGGCTTGGTTTCCATGGTGCATATGAGTAATTTGAAATTATAAATACTCCGAATGTAGGCTTAAACACCTTGTAAATTCAAGAAATGAACTATAATTGTTTAGTTTACGAGATGTTAATAATCGAACTATCGGAGTATGTGCATCACTAGAGATTAACTAAATTGGAAATAGTAGCATAAAGTTTCAGACTGTTTAGCATGCATAAAATCAAAAGGGCCTAACATTTAATTTATAATTTAACTTGTATATAAACGTAGTATATATCCTTCTGATTAGCAAATAATCTATATTGAAATATTGAAGTATTTTCTGAAAACGAATCATGTATTTTCGGGCAAAAATAGTGGGCCTATAAAACAATGTTTTAGAAAAAAACCCTTACACACGCAGATCACCCCAATAGACATGCCTGCCGGAAAGGCTGCAGAAATTTTTCTTTGTAAACAGTACTCCCTCTTTGACAGGGTGTCAAACCATGCTATTTGTCGGATATAGCTGAAAAGTACGGCACTAAATGCAGCGTATAAAAAGTTAGAACTCTCCCTCCCACAAAATAAAACCTGTTTCGCCGCCACTGCCAAATGATTGCCTTATTTCAAGAATGAAATGGATGGAAATTGTTCCAATTCAGTTTTTTTAGGATACAATTTTTCAAATTTAAAAAAATATGCATGCAATAAGTTAAGTTTGCCATGAACGGACGCACCTGCGTAGAGTTTACAATTTGAAAATTATTCATATGTCATCAGTTCAAAAACACAATACACAAAACATAATCCAGCTGTCACAGCAGCAGTCTTTCCACTTTAAGAAAACAATATTTCCCTCGAAAAGGAAATTTCCTTCAAAGTGGAAGCACTGCACAGCAGTAGTGTAGGAGGATATTTAAAGATAGGAGTTGTAACGCGACTGGTTGTCCTTGCAACAGGGTCAAAAAAAGTAAACTGATAACTCAAAGGTGTTTCAACAAAATTAAAGAAAATTTGGTACAATTACTATTAAAGTGTAACTGTGTAATTATGCATGCAAACATCTTGGTATGTTTATATGGTTGTCACGGTAACAGACTAGTTGCCACGACTTCCCTTCGCTTGATAGGTCAAAATTCTCCTTATATTTTTCAGGTAGTTGCATCCCCACCAACGAAAGCCTGAACATTTGATTGGGATTACCTACACCGGCAAAGATCTCTTAAGCAAACGACGTTCTTGTCACCATGGCGTCAGATTGCCGAGG